CAGTGCCGCAATTAATAATTAGCCAGATTAGACCGACTCTGCGGCTCTGCCATAAAACAAGTATCTATGATAGGCCGCCATGCCCTTGGAATTCAATACCTTTAATTATTAAATCTACCTGTAGATCTAGCTAAAGACGAGGTACTTACGATAAGTGGACCAGCGTGTTGGGCGTAACTAAATACCATACACCTACCCAGATAGGCATTTATTATCTTTGTTGGTTATTGTAAAAATCTACTGAACCAAAAATGTAATTTTTAATTACTTGTGCCTGTCTTTACCCATTGTTTCAAGGGATCAATTATTCCAACTGAGTATAGCTAGCTCAAAATACAATAAGACCAATCTGAGCATAGTAACTAAAATATGTATGGGGGAGAGGGAGCACAAGTACATTGCCCTATACTTGTATATCTTTACCGGTAGTAATTAAATCTCAAAATTCTCATAGTTTTGTTCTCAATTTGCTATAGGGCATATACATGTTAATAAGTACCGGTATAGCTACATTATGGTAAGGAAATATACATGCACAGATCTCCCCCCCCCCCCCCCCCCCACCCCAGTCAAAATTTGTATCTGAATTTCCATTTTTTTAAAGGTTTTAAAAACACAAACAGAAGATTTTAGGCCAGTTTCCTTCCTTGAAAATTCAGCTAATGCATGATCTTCTGTTTGACGTTAGTCGGCGCCCTCTATGTCCCAAAAACTGAAAAGCTGCTGAGCTTGAATTGAGTCATGTAATTTTGTCACCTGTTATTCTTTGACAGAAGCATGAATATTAATTCAATCAATTGGATACAATAGACAGAAGGGATGGGATGCTGGACTGCAGTAGGACTCCGTCCCAGTTATATGATACACATCTTAGCCATGGTGTGTTTAGACTTCAGTAACATCGCGAAGTTTATGCTTCTTGAAGTTTCCTGTCAAGAAGTTTAAATAATTTTGTTTATATCTAAACCCGTTTACTCATATTACAGACATAGGCACTCAATTTATATGATATATCTTAGTCATGGTGTGTTTAGACTTCAGGAACATCCAGAAGTTTATGCTACTTGAAGTTTCCTGTCAAGAAGTTTAAATAATTTTGTTTATATCCTAAACCCGTTTACTCATATTACAGTCATTGGCACTCAATTTATACGATATATCTTAGCCCTGGTGTGTTAAGACTTTAGTAACATCGGGAGTTTATGCTTTGTGAAGTTTCCTTTTTTTAAGTTTCTTTTTGTTGAGTTTCTTTTTGTTGAGATGTTTCCCAACAAGAAGTTTAAAACATTCAAATAACCAGTCTGCTCAAATTATAGACATGTAGGCACTTCATTTGGAGTGGAATTTGGGTCATCTGGTTTATGTTTTTAACGATGATTTTTACACTGAAAATACTTTCTATGTTGTAATATGATTAAGCCTACATATTTAAAGATGGAAACTGGGTCATGTGACTAGTCTTCAAATAAAACAAATATATCATCTCTTACCAATGACTTTGATTAATTTTTTAAATAGTAGAGAATCCAATCAGAATTTTATTTAAAGATCTAATTAGACAAATATTTGTATAATGTATGAAATTTAAAATAAAATAAATGAAAGCTAGCATCATTATTGAGGTAAAACCTTGTAAATTTGCAACTTGATGAGTTGATTTTATTGCATGGTATTATTTATCACTTTTGCTTTTAAGAATCAAAAGCAAAATGGGCACAAGCTAGCGTGATGAGGGGTTCTTAAAATATATCAGGTCCAAAAGTAGATACAGTCTTCCTACATAGGTATATCAACTTCCAGTATGTTGGTACTTCAAAAAGTAGGGGGATAATAATGAAGTCTCAAAGAAACAAATTTGGAATTGCTTTCAGAAATGGCAAAAAATCTGGTCAATTTCATTCTTAAAAAGTTTGGCAGTAGGATGCCATCTTTAATACTGCATTCAGGAAAACTTGGCATGTGGAGACAATTGTTTGTTGGTTTTTTTTCTGATGTGGAAATGTGCCATATGTCTTCAAGGAAAAGGATGAGGGATGATGATTTGTGCTTAGTTCTGACACTTTTATGACGATTGATAAAGTCTGATCTTATCACTGTTGACATGTTGGTCTGTGTGTGGCTTCGTTTAACTTCCATTTTCTTCAAAATCATTGTTTTCAGTTGGCAATCTTTTTTTCCTCCCATTCACAAGAAACTATATTTTATTATTAGTTTCTTTTTCTTTTTAAATGGACGTTGTAATATTTTTCTCTGTCGATACTGGATGTATCTTTTTTGTCCTTGTTTTCCCTTCGTCTTTTTCCCCCTCATGATATTACTCATTGACCTCCTTTCCTTTCCTTGTTCCACTGACTTTTTCAATGTTTTAAAATACTCCCCCCCCCCCTCCCTTTTTTTTCTGTTGCGCACTGTCATTGTCTTCTTTTCTTATTCCTATTTTGTTTTTGTTTTTTCTTCTGTTTTTATAAATATTTGTCCTCTTCTTTTCTACAATTCCTCTGTCCTCTCCATTATATGCCTCTGCCTAACAAAGATGGTGCCAGAGGCATTATTCCTCTATATCTTTCTTTCATAATTTGTGTGAATCTTCATGTTCTTTTATTATTCTATCGATCCTCCTTGTTCCATCTTTTTCACCTTGTTTATTTCTCCTTTCAAACTTTTTCTTCTTTTTGTATACCTACATGCATCCAATGGATAACACATGAAACCATGTCACACTGCTAAATTGCCATCCTGGACCCCGTTTCACAAAACTTGTATAATCAGAGACAAATGACAGTTTTTGTTATAAGCTAGCGAAATCCTTGCTTTTGATTGGTTATCAGCACATTTGTCACTGCTTTTTGTCATTTGTCATTGAAAAAACGCTTTTTTGAAATGGGTCCCTGAACAATTCTTGCTAAGCAGGAGTAGCCAGTACAAGTTCATGTGAACTTGATGTTGTTTACTAGATCATGGACGCGTGAATTGCCTCGATAAACTAGGCGAAGGCCACATCCCATGTACAGTCAGGCAGGTGTCTGGCGTTTGTCCATAGTAACCTTGGATGAACACATTTTCTCTGACCTAGTGCCAAATAGAATGATCTAATAATACCTTAGTCACTCCATCAAACCGACATTAGACCGACCCCAAACCGACCAATTTTTGGCCATAGATGTACTCTCTAAAAACAATTGAGTGATCACGGACGTCACTCTTCTGGAGAGTGAAAATGTAGTGAAAATAGAGTGAACATTCACTCTTTTCTTCTTAGAGAGCACTCTAAAATCAATCGATATTCACTCCTGAACAAGTGATCACGGACGTACACTCCCAACACAATGAAAATAGAGTGAAATTCACTCTTTTTTTAGAGAGAGAGTAATGTAATCAGAGCCATCTATACACAGAGTTTGGCCAACTTGGTTTCATTGGGTCACAACATGGCGTATATTCTTTTGTTTTGTGCTTGCCCAACAAAGCAGTATTCACCATATTGTGTCCAACTCGAACCGGGTTGGCCAAACTCTCTGTATAGATGGCTCTGAATGTAATGATACAAGTACCCCCTCAATGGCCGGACCCATGGCTACGCCACTGGCATCATTGGTCTGTCACAAGTTATTCATTTGTTACATCCATGAGACCAAATAAAAAGCAGACGCTAGAGGCTGCCTTGTTATATTCAGCCTTTACAACCTCTTTCTGTGAGTTGTTAAAAAGGAAAGATTAAGAACAGAAGGATGAAGGTGAGAAAGAAAGGAGGACAGGGGAAGGAAACATAAAAGGAAGACGATACAACCCTCCCCCCCCCCCTTCCCTTATCCTCTTCTCACTAGATAACTTCGTTCTCGCATTTCATCCAATAAAAACAACTGCCCCCTCCCTTTCATAACCCCAGTGGCCCCTCGATAACTTGACCCATGGCTACGCCACTACTTAATCGGTCCGTCAAACGCTATCCCTTGATTATATCCACGAGACTTGGGTTGCATTTATCGACCAGATTTTTGGCTAGAATCAGGTTTCTCAAACGTCTTTCAGGCAAATTTAGAAGGTGATAAACGCAAAGCCTTTTGTAAAGGGCTTTAGATATGGGCATATCTAAAGACGCAAAAAGGTGTGTTTTGAATGTGACATACAGCCAGAATCACGTTTCTGAGAGATCGATAAACGCAAAGCTGTTTTGAACCTCACATACGAATAGGACCCCCCAGGTGTTGTGTACAAGCATGTGTGTGTGAAGTTGACCTCCGAGAAACTGTCTGCTTCCCGGGTCAAAACAGCTGGGCAGACACAAGGCCTTTATTTTGAATCGTGAAGGGACGATCAACGCGACATCCTGCAAATCACGATCGTATATAGTGGGGTATGATTGTGGGGTTTGATAGTGGGGTTCAATAGTGGGGTATGATATGTACATATCTAGTGGCAAGCACCGATAAACGCGCCCTAAATAGAACCTGACACTAGAGGCTGCCCTCTAACATTCAACTGTTCACCTTCAGACAAACCACCAGTCCAACAACACACAACAGATGCTTCTCTCTCTGCTCCAGCGTCAAAATTAATCTCATTTTCATATTTGTTCGACCGCCGACAGCTATCCAAATCAGGAGCTGTCGTGTGATGACATCTTAGATAATGCTGAATATTTTTTGCCAATTCATTGATTTTTGTTCACCTTTTGAGTCACAGAGGTGGCGCGATGGCTCAGTGGTAGAGCAGTGGTCTCGTAACCGGGAGGTCCCGAGTTCGAAACCAAGTCGATGCTCTATATAGTGCCCTTTGTTAAGGCATTCATCCTCATTACCAAGTCCCTGTGAGAGGACTTACAGCCGTTAGTCCCCTGGTTGCATATTAGTAAGCATATATATACACATGCTTTCTTAGAAACGTAGTATTAAGCACTGTACAAATGTGACTACTATTGTAATGTCATGAGCAATTTGTTTATTTCAATCTCTCTTTTTTTCCTCTTTCTCATTCTCTCTCTCTCCCTCTCCCACCCACAGGTATTACACTTTAGGCGGATCAGTGCAGCTTTTGAATGGATGCTCGTCGTCAAACTCAACGTGTACTTCATGACCTTCTCGCATGAGTTCCGTCACATCAAGCTCTTCACGCAGCTCCAGCACTGGCGAGGGAACCAGTGGGAGTCTATAGAGGGCAGCATAGGCACGGCCACGCCCGCCACGGAGTCGGTGAACGAGGACGACGTGGAGGTGAAGATCCAGTGCCTGGATAGAAAGAGCACGCAGCCCGGCACGAGATACGAAAAGCATACCTTGATTTGATGCATGTTGTAAAACGAATGCTGCATCGTGATTCAAATAGTATTATGTTAGTATTGGAAAATTTTCATCGTACAGTGTTGTAGTATTATAATGATTATCTTACTAGTTTGATCTGGTGATGATAAAAGCAGATTACAGCCTCGTTCACATATGCATCGGTAAACGATACTGTGTTCATATGATGAAGTAAAGCGTAGTACACTTCAAATGTCTGTATCTTGAATATAGCAAAGAGCTGAGTGAATAAGTGAAAAGCATAGGCCTTTTCTGCATGCAGTTGCCATCTTGTACACATAAAATAAACAGGCAGTTTTTCCGTATCATACGAAGCTCTAGGGTGGGCACATACAACCTGTGTTTCCTCTTTAAACCCCATTTAGAATACCTCAAATACACTAAAGAAACATGTTTCGTTTGATTGATATTTTTGCCCAAAATCTGAAGACACTTTTTAATTTATTTCATCATTTATTTTCTGCCGTTTGTTTGATTTTGTTTGTATTTTTGCTTGTCAGAATTATGGCAGTATTGAGCTCCCCGCCCCCCCCCCCCTCCCTCCCAAACCCCCGCCCCCACCCCCTGCTTTCAAAAATCCTGGACCCACCCTGGTCATGCTGATCTAATAATGATTATGTAATAATGGAATTATAACACGCTTTTTGTCTTGACCAAAATCTTTTAAACATATTTTTAATTTCACACTGCCTTCAAACAAAGAAATGCACAGTAGCCAACTTGTCATTCCCTTATCTGGGGTCAAGCTAACTCGAGCAGACAAGCACCAAAAATAGTAATTTTTACATCAATGCATGCCAGCTACAACTCTTTAGGTACTGTATGCGCAAGACTTCTGTTAGACTAGACAAAATTCTTTGCCCCCCCCCCCCCAAAAAAACAAAAAAACAAAATTAAAACAAAATATATATATATATGTATTTACAGTTCAGAGCCTGTGCAAGTATTAGTGTAAGCCCAGACCCTGCATTTTGAAAGAATAGTGTTTGTGCCCTCAAATTAAAGCATGAGGCATGAAAAACCAGCAATTTGTTTGTATTGTAGATGGTAGTTGATTGTATCGTGAGAAAAAACTGGTACTAGTAATTTTTTTTGTAAAATTATTTTGAAGAAGAAGACTTTAAAAATAGAACCGTTAAATAATTTGGTAAGCAAGAATTTACGATTCATTTCTTTAATAATAATGGTCTCATAACATTTGAGCAAAATGTGTTGAATCGGTGGGATTTTATCTGTAAAATTTTCCCTTTTTGTCCACAATAATGTCAATAAAAATGATGTTATGATTGAAAAAATAATTTTATTTAGAGTTGATTTTTTTCATCCCAATGACTGTAAGCAATGGGTTAAAAAAATTACCTTGCACATTTGTGATTTAGTGACCAAAGTTGTGTACTTTTCGCGCATACTTCTGTGTTTTTGGTATCATACAGATATTTACTCTTTTTTCCAGGAAAATGTAATTAAAACCCCCATTTTAATCAAAGTGTTTTTTCTTCTTCTCCATTCCTCAGGCAATACAGGTAAAAGGTAACATTATGATAAAAATCCCAGAGGACTGGGACAGAGGCTACTACTACACGGCCAGTAACAGAAACAGCTGGTCGTCGATGACCACCAAAGATCCCCCGTACATCATCGACAACCTCGACAATCTGGCCATGAAGAACGCCCTGTACAGCTCAATCATTTCATCGTCCTTCGCCAACATGGTGGTCGCCGATCTCTTCGAGCCGGGCTTGCCCGCGTCGCCGTACGACGAGGAATACAAGATATCCTTCTCCCACCCGGTCAGCTTCTCCGACTTCGAGGACAGCGGGTTTGTGGGTAATCGGCGGCACTCAGTACTGGATTCTACGCAGTTTCACAACGAGAAGAATGCGAGCGAGTTTACGCACTGGGCAACCTAGTGCACCAATCGATGTTGAATGGACCTTGTTCCTTTGCTCTGTTGAGAGCTACATGTAGTAGGCATTATTAAGCTCATATACAATGTAGTTTGACAGAGTTAAAGCTCTTCTGAAGCTCAGCCAAATTTCTCCTTGCTGTGTAGAGATACGACATGAATTTGATAGTGTGTTTTCTTTGATGTTTTAAACATGGTTAGGCTAAGATATATTCTGCAGTTGGGGAAAACCTCCCACCGGGCAGAAATACCATGAATTGTGTGTTTCCAGTACATGGTTAGGTTAAAAATTGCATGTGTAATCTGCAAAAAGAATTGCAAAAAAATCTTCAGTATAGACAAAAGTGCCATGAAGGAGATAACTGGCTCTCCGATGGGATTAAGGGAGTCCAAATTCACTTTGGGCTCTATACAGATGATATAATCATGAGCAAAGAGAGTAACAGATTTGATCTGTTCCTAGTATCAATGTTGGGTAGTCCCATTGCCAAGGTCTTGATGCTGAGACTTTAATTGTATTTTGTTTGCTTTTTAGGGTGTCGTTTTAAATGATATACAGGCAGATGTATAGTAGCACCAATATCCCTTTTTAAAGGCCAGTTTACTATTCCATATAAATTTGTGGATAATGTGAGTTATGAATTTCTTCCTAAAGCTCTCGGTGACCCCCAAACTTAACTCACTCTGGATACATTACTTGTTGCTATATCAGGCAAGCAATTTACAGCATTCAGGTCAAGAGCAACTTTGTATGTATTGGGTTCGCAACCTCTCAGGTCTTAAAGAGGAATAGCTGTTGCTATATCGGGCAAGTTTCCAGCAAGCTAACAGGTCATTGAGAGCAACTGCGATTTCAGAAGTATTCACAAATTCAAATACACAAGCAAACAGTTGTATTCTGAGTCATTATATTCCATGGCATTATACAAATATACACAGATTTACAAAACTCAATTAAGAGTGACAACAGTATTTTTATCGGTCAGTTCTTGACCCATTGTCTTTGTATGGGAACTGGAAGTGCCTTTGCCAAATAAACCTATGGCATGTGCTGCCCTCTATGGTCAATTACTGTAGTGGATGTAGCGAGAATTGAGTGTGACAACAAGATTTTGATGTTTTTAAGTTTTCCTCTACCTCATGCCCTAAAACAGTCTTCATTTTACAGAGAGTAGAGCATGATTTTTGCTTTGATTTTTATACAGTTCCCTTTTAAATCAGATCAGAAATGTATGATGTTCCGGGTACATTGTTTTTTTAATTCATAGGTATCGCAAGGATTATTTTATTACCACTGCCGTAGTTTAAGGTTAGAAGAACATTCAGTGTAAGGTAGCTTGGCCAAATGTGTCACAAAAAGAGACGTCTATAGATCCTCTAAGACAAGTGCATTATTGTAAAAAGTCGTAATTTTTGGCAAAGAGGGAGCATTGTATCATTGCGATATAGATCTGGTGAAGTTTATGAACCTCTATAACCTTCATTAGGCTAAATTATATTAAATTGTGTCCTTCACCACACGAATCATTTCTGTCTAACTTACCAGACTTTCTATTGGTCAACTAGCCTACTCAACGAGTTATTTTACTGTTTACTGAGAGATTAAACTTAAAAACTTAAAAATTTAAACTCCAATATCTCTTTGTAGAAGTAATATTTGGTGCTCATATTTTAGACATGGAACCCCTTACATCACAAGAAAAACATTTTTTAGTGATTGGTACACTTAAACTTATCCTTCAGATTTAGATTTATAAAAATTACAACTTTAGTTCACCGATTTTCACCAGCAGTTATGCCTTTTGCATTCCAGATGCATCTAATCACGCTGCATTTTGCTAAGCCATGTAACAAATTAACATCCCATGATCTAGGCCAGTTTAAGAAGTTGGCAATAATAAAAATGAAAATATTTCTTTTACATGGAAGTCATATACTCTGGGAACTAGAGGGATTTTAACATGAATGTTGCAATATGAATAATTAAGAATTTCTTAATTACCCAATTGAAATATATTGAGCTATTTACTTGAAATAATGAATTATGTCTGTGTCAAATTCTGAAATTTGGGATACTGGGGGTTAGTGAGACCAAAATATCTATTAGTTAAGTTGATGGGGTTTTATTTGGTGTGTTTATGCTTTCTTTGTTTTCCTTCTTTATCTTTCCTTGTTTCTCTTTAACTATTTTTTTGTCAGGTTAAATTTCTATTTGAGGTGAAGTTTTGAGGTGTTGCTGATTAGTTATCATTTTTTAACTCGATATGATACTTTGATTCAGCTGTACTAATGAAGCTCGACTAACTTCAGTCCCGTATACTTGCAGTTGTGTTTGCTGTTGTAAAAAAGTACAACAAACATTAAAACAAAATGTTGATTAATGTGTGAATGTACAAAATTGGTTCATGATCTGCTCCGAGCTAGAGGGCTATTAACTGCTCATTTACCACAAGGTTAAAGCTCTATTGGCTCTACACCAGATACATGATATTACGAATGATCTTAATTGCAGTACATCGACTGTTCTAAGTTTGTGGTACATTGATATGCAGGCAAAGGAAGTGAGGAATGTTTAATATTAGAAATACTATCACTTGGTGCCTTCTTACTCTAACTCAACTTTTATCTATGCCTGAAGTGTGATATACCACATGTGACTATCTCTCGCTCAAAGGGTCTTATCTCATTTGATGGTGATAAAGGTAACAAGGTGAAAAGCCTATACTATTTGTATGTATATATGTGCGTAGCTATAGAGATATATATTTATATCCACTATTTAATTGTATTTTAAACCAGAAATCAATGATCTATTTTCTTATATATCTTTTGTCTTCTTGTGGTATAACTCAATACCCTATAACACTATTCACTCTTGTATTTCTAGGAATATAGATGTTTTGCCTTATGTAATGTAAAATAGCAGATTATATGAATATATTGGAATCATGTTGAAAGAGGAATATATAGAGAGGGGTGAGTTTTATGGTGCAGATTTTTTTTCTGTATATAATGACGGTTAATGAAGGGAGAGAGCCCTGTTTGCATGGGGAAGGGAGGGGTGTCTTTTCAAACTAGGTGTACACCAATATATTTTTAAAGCCTCTCTGTACTAGTTTGGCCAGGAGGGATTAGACCTCCCACCATAGTCACTGACAGGTGGATATCTCATCAAATCAGCTCACAATCAACATAAGAAAAGGGGATCATGGGGGACCAATGGTCACCGATTAGGCATTGTTTGCTATATAGAGGGCGCAAGTAGCTATAAGGAGTGCAGTGGGGCTTTAAGTGATTGATTTTTTTTCCTTCCTATTCTAAAGGATCACTATTTCTTCTTCCTATTCTTCCCAATACACTTTTTTTAAATTAATCATCCTTTTTCATTGCAGCTTTTATTTTATTGATACGTATATAGTCGTTGCCAAAAGGAGGGAAAAAATGCTGTTTTTACATTTCTCAGATATTAATTGATGCTGTTTGCTTACTCGTAGACAAAATTAAATGTCTGAAGAAATTATATTGATGATCGCCCCCATGAGTGTCCTTATGCTTGTAAAATCTATGTGTGCTAGTTAATGAAGGCAAATGCCATTAATAGGATCATTTTGATGATTATGAATATTGATTATTCCATTATTGATCCTATCTGCAACTCTTCAATTGCAAGAGTGATTACCCATCTTTTGTTTTAACTCATTGTATCTATGTTTTATGATTGTTGAAGTGAAATGCTCATGTGCTGCAAAATCACACATATTGTTTTGCAAAATGGTTTTAGATGATTGAATGTAATTGCCACATTCTCTGTTTATTTGATGCTTTCGAAAATCATGTTAGATCAAGAGTTTTCTTCTTTAAAGGAAGTTTAAATGAGGTCCTTTGAATTTTTCACATTAAGCATGAAGCATGATGGCTCAGTGGTAGAGCAGTGTTCTTGTAACCGGGAGGTCCCGGGTAAGAAACCAAGTGGATGCACTAGTATTTATATGTAGCAGCAAGATGAGTCTGTGAAATTATGTGCACAATTTCAGATCAAAAGACTGGTTTTCTCTCTATAAGTGAAAATTAGAGCCCTCATTTTGTACACAACAAAAGGGATGAATGAAAAACTGCAAGTTGCAAAGTTCAAATTTGAAGACAAAAAAAATGAATGTGATTTTGCTAATAATTAGTATTTTGCCATCATACTTTTATGAAAGATTTCAATTACGATTTTTGACAACATCTTGGTCCTATTATAAGTTGTGAGATTTTCACTGTGCTAATCCCTGTGACGCCCTGGAAGTATATCAAGAAAATACTTACGAGAATCTAGCAATATCATTTTGAGTTCTCTAGGTGTCGTGCCCTCTTCCGTTTAGCCATTATCAGTTTTGTTCTGGTTTTATGTTGTGTTTGCTTTTTTTTAAAGGTGCATAAGATGGAAGAAATATTCATATGCATTATTTATCTTGTGCTAGACCAAAACTATATCATCTCATCGCATTATGTCTCCAGCTATACATTCCATGCCATATAAGCATTATTTTAACTATGTCTCTTATAATAGGACCATTTTTCTGTTTTGTGTAAAAGGTTTCTTTCGCTTGTTATCTTTGTTATCATACTTTTTATGATTATGTTCCTTGGTTTGTCTGCATTTATTTATAACCATGGCCATATTTGTATCATAATACATTTTCCCTAATATTTTCTTGTAAAAGGCATATATTCCAAGTTGCCTTATTTTGGATATATATATGCGCTCCTGTCATTTTACATTGTAGAACCATAATATCTTTCTAGTCTGTAGAGAAAATGTCTTGGAGGTGTGTCTTTAGGCTCTTTGAGTTTGGGAAGACTTATTTTACTGTATTTATCTTTACAGTAGGTTGTTGAATTGTTCTCTGTGGTTCTACAAAAAAAAACTATTAAAAAAAACAGAGAGCCAAGAAGAGCCAAAATTAGTTGAAAAGAGTGGAGAAATTGGAGAAGAAGCCCTTAATTGATCTACTAAAAGTTTATTTTTAAAGAGCTGCTTTTTATCCTGTCCTGTGTCTTTTTAGTTGAGCATAACATATGGCTCCTTGCTGTTTTACTACTTTTAGGTCCCTAAATAATTTCTCATTAAAAGAGCATTAAAAATATGAAAGGAGCCTCTTGAATTGTTTCTTGGCCCCCTTTTGTTTGTTGCATGACAGCTCTTGGCTTTTGGGAGTTTTTTTTTTTTTGGTTTCTGTTGTTTTTCTTTTTTTTAACTCTATTTTGAGGGGGAGGGGGGAGAGGCACTTTTGGCTCTTTTTGATTCTTTTTGGGGCTCTTTTCAAATGATATTGGCTCATGACTATTGTTAGGACTGTTCCTCTATAGTATTACATGTAGTTGGTGTTTCAGCTCTTATGGGTTCTTTCCATTTTCCACAACTCTAATTAGTAGGACTTGCCTTCTATTGATAGTTGATGTTTGAGCAGTAGAATTGATACTGATTACTCTGTTCTGTATAGTATAGTATAGGTTTATGAGTAAGCCTGATTCTGAAAGTGTCTAGTGTGTAATATATTGATGAGTATGTTCTCATGATGTGATTTGGTTGTAATTTTTTGAATAAATTGTAACCATATTTTTAGAACTTGGTCTTACATTATGTTCTTTTTCTATCGTTTGTGTGAAAATAATGGAATATGTTAAGAAACTATCATTGATGAAGAGAAGCAATGCTTGTGACAGATGAGATTAAGGGGAAAGAGTTTTGATTGCAATTTTGTTGGTAATGATGGTACTGCTACTACTGCAGAGGAGGAGGATGAAAAGGAAGAAGGTGGTAGTGATGATGTTGAAGATGAAGATGATGATGATGATGATGGTGATGCTGTTAATGATGATGGTCATGGTGATAATAATGATGGTAAAGATAATAATGATAATGCTGTTGATGATGGTGATGTTGATTATGATGATGATTATATTTATGGTGGTGATGTCGATGAAGTTGATTGTGATGATGAAAATGAAGTTAATGCTGCTGCTTATAATGATGATGCGACGGTGACGATGATGATCCCAGTGTGTTCGAGATTTTTATACGGAAAAAGAGCAATCAATGGATTCTGTCTAAAGTTGTCTAGCGCCACCTACTGCCTGGTTCAAACATAGTTTGCTAGTGATAATTCTCGATTGGATATTTTCAAGCGAACGTACATGTATGTAAATGTTTCAATTTTGCATAAAACAATGTAACACCAAAGTCTGAAAATCATGTTTCAGTTTCTTCCTAAGAGATTTCCTCTTCTACATTTTCTTCCTCTTCTTCTTCTTCTTCTTCTCCTTCTTCTGTTTTTTTCTTCTTCTTCTTTTCCCTGTCTTCCATTCTGTTGTTTCATATCAACTAAAGATCTTGCTCTACCTGGGCGTATGTCCCTCTTCAGAAGTAAAATGTGGGCAAATTTACGGTTAAACCAGACAGGATACAAAGTTACTCCAAACATTTTGGAGGCATGAACCCCCCCCCCCAAAAAAAAAAAAAAAAAATGGGGGCTATTTAGGGCCATTTTTTTTTGGTGTTTTTTTTTGTTTGGGGGGGGGGGTCATCGGATGACTTTGCCGCAGGGGAAGGTACCCCTTGCCACCCCTCCTCCCCCTTCCCCGATCCCCAGTCCACCACTCGCTCTCAAAATTCTCTTGTACCGCCACTGGCTCGAGTCAGTACAAGTAGCTCCATGCATGGTGTTAACAAGGGTTTATGCCCGAAGGAGCGGTATGAAAGACACTCTTGTTCTCTCGCCCGAACCCCCGGGTACAAACATGCGTGCTCCCCGCTCAACCAGCTCAAGCCATAAAACTCCTCTGGGTTCGTCACACCCTTTGGATTAGTCTTTGACTTTAGACCCGAAGTATTTTCATTTTTTGTTTAAAGACGACATGATTAGATATTAATGTCCTGAGATAAGTATAATCTCCGTGAAGTTAAAAACGGCTTTAAAGCATGATTATTTTGAATTCACCCCAACAGATATAAGACCTATATTTTGATATAGTTTTCATACTTTGTTTTTTTAACCCTCATCTTTTCATACATGCGTCTTTTTGGGAAGGATAATTTCCACTATGAGGTGAACTTACAAATTGGAATCTCCACCTAATAATTTAGGTTACCTAAGGCCTCTCCAATCTGAATTGGTTTACTAACCAGGGGTCGAACCGTTCAACTTTTTAATTTACCTGTCATGAACTTACCACATATACATAAGTATAAAGATTTACGAGTAGATTTTATAGACAAAAATAGTAATCTGGGAGAAAATTTTAGTAATTTGGATAGTCAAGAAAAATTCATATTTATAATGAGATTAGACAATGAAGTTGTAAAAGATAGTTTTTCTTTGTTCACCAAAAACATAATTGCAAGGAGGGGTAATTTTTAGATACTATGTAATAACAAAGTAGAAATGTACAATCTTATGCTTTGGGTTTGTGCAGTAGGTCGCAGTTATGTATAAGAACTATTACGTCATTTATTTTAGGCATTCCATGAACCTCATTTATCTACTTTGTATTGCATGAGTTATAATTTATTTAGAAAAGTGCTGTATTATATTTTATATATCTAAATCTTCGGGTGTTAATTATGGTACATTATATTACTATATGCATTATGTCATGTTCTTACTAAAAGAAATAAGAGTGTTTCTGCTGGATATAATTTTCCTTCTGTTTTGCTATAAACACTGCATTGTAAATTGATTTATACGGTATATAATATTATGTTTACAGAATATTGATATGTTACATTACATTGTAAATTGATTATATGTTTATAAACAGAATATTGATGTACATCAATGAAGTTTAATAAATACAATACAATACAATACAAGAATAAACTTTACATAATTATAATCAACGTTGCTATGCATGCTAGGCTTGTTTTTCGCAATATTTCGATTAACCTTCGTAAAAAAAGTATTCATTAATTTGATCACTTTTGTGGTGTGGTCGCTTAGTTACCTCACGGTCGTGTCGGTACTTTCATTTTAGTAGGGTTTTCTGAGAGAAATACTTGAGTGCAATGCTACGTTTGGCAAGTCTTGCGTGAAGCCTTTGAGGTTGCAAAGCGCACTAATTTGCATTTTGCAAATTGAAATACACTGATAAGGAGAAGACCTGATGTTGGAAGTAAATCATACGATAAAGGGTTTC